TTAAAATCACCAATGACCTCCTCCTCGCCTCTGACTCCGGCCTACTCTCCATCCTCATCCTTCTTGACCTTACAGCTGCCTTCGACACCATCAACCATTCCATCCTACTCTCTCGCCTGCAATCCCTAAACATCACCGACAAAGTCCTCACCTGTCTTCACTCATATCTCACAGACAGGAAACAATTTATACACATCAACAACTGCTCTTCCAACACTGCCCCACTGTCCCAAGGTGTCCCCCAGGGTTCTGTGGTTGGTCCTCTTCTCTTCATTTTCTACCTTCTACCCCTCGGCCAAATAATTCGTCATCATGGTCTCCAGTTCCACTGCTATGCTGATGACGTCCAATTGTACGTATCCACCAAATCATTTACCCCAACAACCCACTCCACCCTGTCTAACTGCCTTTCAGATATCAAATCCTGGATGCAAACAAACTTTCTCACTCTTAACTGTACTAAATCTCAACTGCTTATAATCGGTCCTCAGTCCCTCACCCAAACAACCTCCGACTTCAACCTCACTATTGACAATTACACCCTGTCCCCCTCCTCTCACTGTCGCAACCTCGGTGTCCTTTTTGATAATAACCTCTCTTTCGACCAACACATCACCCAAATCACCAAAACTGCTTTCTTCCACCTCAAAAACATTTCTCGTCTCCGCCATTCACTTTCTTTCAACGCTGCTCAAACCCTCATCCACGCCTTCATCACCTCCCGCATTGACTACTGCAATAGCATCCTCTACGGTACAGCCTCCAAACACCTCAATAAAATACAGTACATCCAGAATGCCGCCGCCCGTCTAGTCACCCGCACCCGCTCTCGCGATCACATCACCCCTGTCCTTAAAAGCCTCCACTGGCTCCCCGTTCCCCAGCGTATTCAGTTGAAATTCCTCCTACCCACCTATAAAGCCCTTCACAATCAGGCCCCCTCCGACCTCTCTGACCTTCTTCACCCATAAACTCCTTCCCGCAACCTCCGCTCCTCAAACACAAACCTCCTCGCCATCCC